AAAAAAAAAAAAAAAAAAAAAAAAAAAAAAAAAAAAAAAAAAATTACCGTAAGAACATAGAATCTGGGGCTGGGGGTACAGCTCAGTAGTGTAAGCGCAAGGTCGTGAGTTCGATCCCTGGTGCCGCAAAAACAAAACAAAACAACAAAAAAAACAACATAAAATCTATCACCTTAAAAATTTTACAATGTAAAATGTTATACAGAAGGTTCCTAGAACTTTTTCATCTTGTAGAAGTGAAACTCCAAATCCATGGACTGTCTTTTCCTGCTTTTCATTCTCTGGTAACCACCAAGTCTACTCTGTGTTTTTCTGCATTACACTAATCTCATATCTGTGAAATCATACAGTACTTGTCTTTTCATGACTAACTTATTCACTTAGCACAGGACCTCAGGGTTCACATCTAGGTTACTGTAGCATATGATGGGTTTCCTTCCAAGAAAAATATTCTATTATATGTACATAAAGTACCACATTTTGCTTATTTATACATCAATGGACAGTAGAGTGGTTTTCACCTCTTAGCTACTGTGAATAGTGCTGTTATGAACGTGGATATGCAAATGTTTTCAAGATCCTGCTTTCCCCCTGTTTTTGATATTTATACAACAGTGAGATTGCTGGATCATGTGGTAGTTCTATTTTTGATTTTCTGAAGAAGTGCCATATTGTTTTTCATAGTGGTTACATCATTTTATAGCACTACCAATCACGAGCAAGGTTTCCAAGTTTATTCATACTCTTGCTAATACTTGCTCCTTATCTTTCTTATTTTGATAGTAGCCATCTTGATGGGATGCAGTGAAATCACATTGTGGTTTTGGTTCATATTTCTCTGATGATTAGTCATGTTGGACATCTTGTCATATTTTTGTTGGTTATTTGTGAAACACAGTGGTTTTTTTTTGTGTGTGTGTGTGTGTACTGCGGATGAACCCAGGGCCTCACATGATAGCAAAGTGCTCATGCTACAACCCCAACCCAAATATAATCTTTTGATTTACCAATTAAGAGATGAACTGCTTTCTTTGAATGGCCCTGAATGTATGTTACATTTCAAGGAGTCTTGCAAAGTTAGGCATTTAAAATCTAGGGCAGTTTCTTTTGTTGGAGAACAAATGATATATTTTATTTCACTGAAACATACTCCATCACCATTAAATCTTCAAAAGGAAAAACAGTACCCTTGAAAAGGGAGTACAGTTAACCTGAGTAGCAATATATGACTTTCTGATATTAAGTGAATTCTACTGGAGATGGTGACATTGAGTTCTTCTATATCCCACTGATCTTTCTAGTTGTCCTATAATGACTAGTAAGAATACTGACATCTCCAATAATACCTATGGAATTTGTCTTCTATTCTTCCTTTCAAGCCTATCAGTTTTTGTTTCACATATTTATGGCTTTACTATATGGTATACATAAATGTAGGACTGCTATGTTTCTTTCTGTATTACCCCTTTACCATTATATAATGTCCTTTTTTTTTCCCTGTACTTTTCTTTATTTAGATGTTTACTTACCAGATACTAATATAATAATGCTTGTTATTTTTTTCTTTTTGAGACAAGGTTTCGCTATGCAGTTCAGGCTGGCCTTGAACTTACTTTGTAGCCCAGGCCAGCCTGGAGCTCACAGTGATCCTCCTTCCTTAGCCTCCTGAGTGCTGGGATTACAGGCTTGTGCTACCACGTCCAGCCTACTCCTGCATTTTTTAAAGTAATGTCTGTATAGTTTGTCTTTTTCTATCCTGTTCCTTTGTCTGTAGATATCATTATATCTGAAGTGAGTTTTCTGTAGGCAGATCCCTGGCCCTTTCCTCTGTTTTTTCACTCTGCTGCTGAGCCCACCTACTGAAGTTTTTATTTCAGCTTTTGTATTTTTAGTTTTAAAATTGCCACTGTTTATTTTTTCATACTTTGTTTCATAAATGGTCAGTGTCTATTAAGGCATTTTTATGATGAATCCTTTTAAATCTTTTTTTTAGATAATATGGATGTACATTGTTTCCTAGTTGTTGATGTCTACTGCCTTTCACTGCAAGATATTTTATGCTTGGTGAAAAAAGTGACTTTTCAATTACAATCTGAACATCTTGAATACTGAGATTCTGGATCTTATTTTCTTATGTTCTGGCAGCTTCTTCTGGCACTATACTCCACTGGATGAAACTGCTTGCCATCTTATGTTAAGCAGCAGTGTAAGTACAAATTGTCTAGAAGCACCTTGTTATTATTGGCTGGGTGGTTCCTTAACAGATGTCCACTGAAGAGCAGTGTCACTTGTTACCACAGAGGACTGGCTCTCCACTTGACTTTAATTAGCTTATAGTATGCCACCCAAAATTATTATTAGTCTTTATTTGCTTTTGACCTCTGCTGTACCATATACATCCTCTTGCCAAAGCTCATACTTTTCTTAAATTTTATAACATCAACCTCTGAATTTGTCTTACTACTTTGGAAATTACTCATGTTAAGTCTTTTAAATTCCTCCACTATATCTTAAAATCTGCTCTAGAGGGTCTGTGTTTATAGTTCTTTTTCTATATTCCTACCTAAGCAATTTCATTCATTCTTATAATTACTTACAAAATAAAGCTCTCCAAATCTATGTATCTCCAGTTCAAAGCTCAACCAACCTCTAGCTGTGTCCATCCTCCAGCCCACTTTTTCTCCCCTTTTATTTAAATGCTATAATTAAAAAAAAAAAAAAAATTTTTTTTTTTTTGGTCTTTCTGAGACAGAGTCTCACTATGCAGTTCAGGCTAGCTTTGAGCTCTCTTTGTAGTCCAGGTTGGTTTTGAACTCACAACAATCCTCCTGCCTCAGCCTCCTGAGTGCTGGGATTACAGGTGTGAGCCACCACATCCAGCTAAAAAAAATTTTTTTAAAGAAGTTTTGTTATACATATTCATCAACTGTATTATGTATTTTACTTGTGGCCTAAGACAATTTCTCTTCACTGACAAAAAGAGAGAAAAAAGGGCAAGCTGCAGATTGGACATGGCTGCGGGAACTACATATTCAATGGTTTATGCAAACAGTCCATTTCTTTTTTCTCTATCACAAGATATTTAAAAGGGAACTTATCACTTCCCCACATAAGTCTGTTCTGGTTCTGCACTCATTGCTTTAGTGTACTCTAACATTTGTTAGTACATCTTATGAATCAGAAAACTCAGAGTTATCTGGCATCCGTATTCCTTAATACTCATTTAACCAGTTCTGGAGTTCTGCTGTTGCTATATATATACACCACACAACTCTTAAAACATCTTATCAGTTCTTTTTATTCTTCAGTTTTTTTTTTTTCTTTATGCCAAGCAAAATGTTAATCAGGCTTCTTCAATCACCTTAATTCAATTTCCGTAAATGACAGCTAATGTAGACTTCCAAAATGTATATGACTATCAAAATACCCTTATGGAAATTCAACTATAATTATCACTTTCTGATCAAAACTTCACTCTGCTTGCCCCCAAAGAGTGGGATAATCACTAGTAGGCTATAAAAAATCAACTAAGCAGGTTTCTACAACCACGTTTTAAACATTTTATGAAATACACAAACAAACTGGAAAATCAGCAATGAATATACTGATGGTACATTCTGTTTTTTTTGATACATATGCCCATTTTATAAGACAAACCAGTAAATGTAAAATAAACTACTATTTTAGGAAAACTGTGTTGGGAATTTTTCCTATACTTGACATGCATTACCTCATTTAATTCTTACAATACTTTGATATATTATTTTTACTTTTAAAATACAGAAATAGGTACGGACAAATCAGTTTACCAGAGGTCACCCAATAAGTGGCAATGATAACATTTAAAATCCAACTTAACTGTAACATTTAAAATCCAACTGTAACTTAACTTTAGAAAACAAAAACATACATCGGAATGTTAAGATTTTTGTTAAAGATTTGTTAGAAGGTCAGCAGAAAACTAACTTACTTCAAATAAAAGTCTATAATAACATCGTTTAAAAATTCTCCTTCACTTAGACAGTGCAGGTCCTCATTAGTAACAGAGATGCCTCCCTTAGCAGGAGGTGGTGGATACACTATCAATCTGTAATTTAAAGAAAAGCAAATAAACAAAGCTTTATGTATCCATATAACTAAATGTAAGAAAACACAGACAAAGCTTTAAAGCACGGCAAATGTGAAAGAATTCTCTTACTTTTCTACAGGCCCAATGAAGATGGTATGGCTTTCTCCAGATTCTTCCTCATCCTCAAAAAACTGGAATTCTCGTTTGTTTCTAAGTTGTATTTTAGATTCAAAGGACATCTGGTAAAGGAAATTAAAGTACCCATTCACAAGATTAGAAAAATTTTCTATGAAAAGATCAAGGGCAAAGCATAGAAAGCTTTCAATTAGGAAGAATTAAAATTATGAATCTAGCAAATGATGCATGATATTTAACAATTAACAAAGGCAGGATTAAGCGCCTCTTTCCATAACTTTTAGACAACGATATTTTCCCAAAATATGTTACTAATGAATTGTTTGCCAGTGTGTTACTGCTACAAGAGTTCTAAAGTTAGATTCTGTTAGTAAGATTCAAAGAACCTTTAAAAAACCAAAGTGATATCCTCCCCTAGCAGTAGAAGTCTACCTAAATTCAGTACACCATGGGATGTGGAGGCAGAGTTCAGGGACACTGTCTACTGAATTTCAAACCTTACAGAACTAAATTAAATAGAAAGTCCTAACAGGAAAGAGCCTTCTATTGAACATCCATCCCAGATGACGTCTGGCTTCTGCTACTCTTTTTTCCTCTGGTATTTTCTCCTGCCTACAACTCCACAAAAGGAGAATGAGTCCCGTTTTTCCTTTACTCTTTTCCCCAACCCACTAACTCTATGCGTCTTTGTTCAACTACTAAGATTGTCCCTTAAATAAGAGCCACATTTCTGAGCTGTAATTCAGGCTGAGATTTATTCCCAATAAATTAAGTCACCAAAATTCAGCTCTAGTAGTATTGTGGCCTTTGCTTCATATGGCTTCCGAGTTACTTAACTATTTGAGTAAATTCTATATAGTTGGATACATATTTTGACAAATCAAACAACCAATTTTTTAGTTCCCAAGTTTTCAACTATGTATCCACGGTAAATGTATACCACCCAAAAGTGACTACAATTCCGTAAATCCAAGACACAAGGCAACAATTTGAATGTGGAAGTGTGTGCGTGCGCGCGCGCGCGCGCGCGCGCGCACACACACACACACACACACACGGTATGGGGTGTAAATTAGCAGGGATGAGAAAAAAAAGAAGACAAAAAGATAAGAACAGTGTGAAGAAGAAGTAAAAATGATTCCAAGACCTGTCTGTATTTTCTTTAACTGAGAATTCAACTCAGAGGCAATCTAAGCTACCTCCCCAGCCCTTTTGAGACAGGGTCTTGCCCTAAACTTGCAATACTACCTCACTCTCCTGAAGTGCTAGGATTAAAGGATGTGCCACTAACCTTGGCTATCATTAATGTTTTGTTTTGATTTTTTTGTTGTTTTTTTTTTCCCAGTACTGGGACTCGAACTCATGACGTCATACTTGCCAGGCAGGTGCTGTGCCACTAAACTAAATTGCCAGCCCCCATCATTAATGTTTTGATACAAGACAGTTTACATATCATGTATAAAAACAAATTGTGAAATGGAATTTAAAAAAAACCAGCAAAATGAGCATCACTATAATAAAGCATTTCCCTTTTAAATAATCCATTATTTAAAACTTTTAAAAACATTTAAACGTAATTACAGTTTTAACTTTGTCTTCTTTTTGCATACAACTTCCTTTGATGCTTTCTTCATAGCTTCTTGTACAAGCAACAAGTCTGCTATTTGCTTCTTCAAAGAGAATTTTTCCCAAAAAATTGGAAACATTATTCTTTATACCAATGTTATTAATGATGTTCTCAAATACCATGTTTGTCTGTGGATCAAGGCTATTTTGGAAAATTAAAATGATGTACTGTTCTTCCAAATCTGAAAAGAAATACAATTAAAATCAGTACAAAAGAGTTCACAAGATCATCAGAAGTCCTGGAATACATATCCAAAGCAAAATTTAGCATATAATAGATACAAAATAAATAATGGAATAAAAGAAAAAAAAAATCCATGTTACCTGACAATGTCACCTAAATTACAAAAATACAAAAAACAAAAACAAGAACAAAAACCCACAGCAGTTTAAGAATACATCTATTCATGGATATAACTAATATGTTACTGAATAGGATCTAAATCTATCTATAATCTTTTTTTTTTTTTTTTTTTTGGTTTTTCTCCGGTACCAGGAACCAAACTCACAACCTTGCACTTGCCAGGCAGGCACTTTGCTGCTGAGCTAAATCCCCAGCCCCTATAATCTTAAATATATCAGTTAATATGTTTGTCAAACTCAAAAAGGAAATTTGCCAAGTGAATTGCTAATATCTCTAGGGAATGTAACTGCAAACCTGCTATTCACTAATGTGTCAACTTTTGCAGCTTTAATAATAGTATTCACTCATCATTGAGCTGAAACAGCAATTACTGCTGACATATATTTTATGACATATATTTATTTTATAAGCAACTGTGCTATACGATAAGGCTAAGGGAAACAAACTGGAGAAACGTATCTATGCGTTATAACAGACAAAGGCTCTTTCTATGAACCTAGAAACTTTTTAAGCCTTATTTTAAGGATTCCAGATTTATATGGTTGATTTACACTTAACGTTCCTACAAGTTAAAGAAACTGTCTTTACTCAAATATGACAGTATTAAACAGTACAGATCTTTTTGAGTTTTAATCCATTTTGAAAACCTTCTAAGTAGGTAAACTTGGATTTGATCTTCAGTGTTCCACTTTCTATAGATATTTCTTCATCTAAAAAATGGAAGCAGTACTTCTATTTTGCGAGGTAGCTGTAATACATTCTTATAAATGAAGTGAGTGACTTGAGAAATACTACTTCAATACATGCTCTAAAATACATATGCAGCTGGGTGTGGTGGTGCATGGCTGTAATCCCAGCACTTGGGAGGCTGAGGCAGGAGGATTGTTGCAAGTTCGAGGCCAGCCTGGGTTACAAAGTGAGCTCAAGGGCAGCCTGAACTGCATAGCAAGACCCTATCTCAAAAAGACAAACAAAACAAAACAAAACAAAAAACTCCAAAAAAAAAAACGTATGCAGTCATGCTGTCCTGGTCTGTCTTCAACTTCCTGGTGCATTCACATTCGTACTATTCTACAGATTGTGTTATCATATTACAGTCTGTTGTACACAACTTACTTGTTAACTTATTTATTCCTTTACAATCATTCCGTACTTTATCTTCTTTATTCATTTGCAGCTGCATGCTCAGCTTTTGATAAATTGTTGGTATCGTCTGAAGAAACACTACTGGCAATTTTCTGACATTACACCATTCACATTTAGTTAAATCAGAGGTATTTAAAATAATCTCTACAGGATCACTTTCTGGTTCTGGAGGAAAACAAATAGAAATGTAAAAGGAATCAATTCGTAGAGGGCAGAATCTGGTGAAGGAAGTACAAGTTTAGCCATTTATTAATTATGCTTTGTAAATAACTTACAAACATAATGACGAAGCTTATAGTCAGGCGTGGTGGTCCACGCCTGTAACTCCCAGTACCTAGGAGGTTGTGGCAAACAGACTGCCATGAGTGCATGGCCAGCCTGGATTACATACCAAGACCTCATTTTAACAAACCAAACCAAACCAAACCAAACCACACCAAACCAAACCAAATCAAAAGAAAAACAAAAGGAAGAAGCTTCTACTTTGTTTTTCTAAATAAAAAAAGGGCAAAAGCAAATTAGGTTTTTGTTACAAAATAAAATTATACCAAGATATATGCCCTTTGTTAAGAAGATGTAAGTAAAGACTAATCATTTTAATTCTGTAAATATCCTTTAATCTTTTATTCCTGTAAAGTGATTCAGTGTAAACAAAGCTTTTGGGAATAAACATAAAAAAAAGGCTTACCATCCAGATGTATCTTGATAAAATCTACAGAAAACTATAAAAAATTAAGATAAGTTAGTACTAATCATACACTTATGAAGATTTTATTACACATACTTGAAGTAACATGTGCCTTAAAGTCTATAGTATGCAGAAAAACTGAGCCATTTACTACATGCTTAACATTATTATTATTATTTTTTTTGGTCTTTTTGAGACAGGGTCTCGCTATGCAGTTCAGGCTGGCCTTGAATTCAATTTGTAATCCAGGCTGGCCTTAACCTCACAACGATCCTCCTGACTCAGCCTCCCGAGTGCTGGGATTACAGGTGTGCGCCACCACACCCGGCTACATGCTTAACATTAAGATAAAATATTTGTACTACAAAATTATCTCTCAGAAAGTGAAGCTTCAATTTTTTAAAGTACTTACAACTTTCACTACATTACTAAATTATCTTTAGGGAAGCTAACATAATATTACAATGAATATTTGGATACAGTACTTTTTACCTAGATTCATTAACTTCGTATTTTGCCACATTTACCACATCACTCTTTATACACATACTCCTTTGCCTTTCACCAAGCAAGAAACATACATCGTAGTAATTTCCAGACTTTAGCATGTATCTCTGAAGAGTAAGTACCTTCTCTTATGCAACCAAAACATTAACACATTTAAGAAATCAAGACTGAACTTCATTCAACATGCTTAAATTTCCAAAACTACTCAGAACTTTAACTTCTTCTCAAAGCATGATGTTTTCAAGGCTGTATTATTTCTCTTGTTCACTCCATTCTACAGTAGAAATCTGCCTCTCTCTGTTCTTCATGACATGACCTTTAAGGAATTCTAGGCTAAATTCTACAATACAACCAACATCCTAGACTTGTATGTCCTAATTTAAAAATTCAAGTAATACATTTCCACCAAATATAACACACAGGGGATGTGCTAAAACTTTTCCAAAGAAGGTATAATAGAAGGCACATGTTGTCTGACTTAAATCAGTTGGCCAACACAGTAACTGCTAGGTTCTTATACTGTAAAGATATATTTTCCCTTTGTAATTATATAATATGAAGGGAGATACCAGAAAGCCAATATCCTGTTCCCAAACAATCCTTAACTCCATGGTATTAGCATCCAATGAAAGTCTTTGCCAAAGTCAGTTATTACTGGTGATTTAAAAATTGGTAATTTTCTAACTAATTATTTCAATGTAAGGAAAACACTATTAAGCCTGGTACAACCTGAATAATCATGTTTTGCGTTTATAGAAATGCATTTAAAAAATAAGATTGATTGATACAGAGGAATACACACATATATGAAAAGCACATACAGTCTGAGTGTTCCTTATCCAAAATGCTTGGGACCAGAATATTTCAGATTTTAGAGACTTTCAAATTTTGCAATATTTGCCTAGGCTTCATTGAGCCTCCCTAATGTGACAATCTGAAATTCTAGATTTTCCGAAGTCCAAAACTTTATTTTTCGCAGCTAGGCATTGAACCCAGGGCCTTGCACCTGCTAAGGCACAAGCTCTAAAACTGAACTACACCTCTAGCTCGAATCAAACTTTTTTTTTAAAAATGGGGTCTCACTATTTGCTCAGGCTAGTGCTGAACTCCTGGATATAGGTGACTGTTCTGTCTGTTTCAGTCTCTCAAAGAGCTAGAAATCCAGGCATATACCACCATGCCCTCCAATCCAAAACTGAGTGTCATTTGAGCATGGATTTTTCAATTAGTGATACTTAACCTGTACACTATGATCCTAATGATAAAATTTAATTGGCAATATAGAAATGTTCATTGTAATATTCTTTAAATAATCGGAAAATTTTCATAACGTAAAAAACAAAACAAGAAAATATAAATTTGGTAATAACTACACGTTACTAAGTCTAGAAAGTTACTAAACATATCTTTTAAAGATTTCTCTCGAAGTAACATGTTCACTGAAGGTATGTAAAAAGAATGAAGGTGTGCTATGTATAATACCAATTCCTTATGATTAATGTAACCATTACGTACTGCAAACATGTACTAATAAGGAAAAAAAAAATCAAGCAACAGGGTTAACTGGCTTCATTGGAAAGTAACACATTACTTGAATTCTTCAAGCAATAGCACATGGCTGTAATCCCAGCTACTCAGGAGGCTAAGGCAGGAGGACTGAAACACTGAGGCCAGCCTAGACCACTTCAGCATACACAGAAGCTAAAGTTGCATGCTTGAGAAAAATGTCAGGTGACTGAAAAAGTAGCAATAGAAATGAAATATAGTAAATGACACAAAATATTTGAATAAAATTGTTCCAGGAGATAAGGAAATTTAAGAAGAGTGTTTTATCTGGGTATAATGGTGTACACCTATACTCTAGCACTCCGGGAGACTGAGGCAAGAGGACTGCAAGCTTGAGCTCAGCATCTTAAAAGGAAGCTTGTCTTAAAATAAAAGATAAAAACAGGTGTGCGCCACCACGAGTGTTAGGGATATAGCCCTGGGTTCAATCCCTAGTACTACCCCCACAAAGTCTTAGTATTTATGTCATTTAAAATTTGTGTATATTAATACTATTATTACAAGTAGATATTGGGCTACATCTCAAAACATCTTAAAAACTAAACTGACTGAAAGACTAGATATTAGATTTCATTTTTTCAATGGAAAAATGAAGAACTTCATATCCGGATATGTGATATTCCCAATGATATAACCCACTTTACTTGTAAATGATTTTGGCATTTCTAGATACTATCAACTCTATTGCAGACTGGATGAAAATTAGGTTATATTCAGGAATAAAATATTTGTTTTTGTAATTATACTTTCTATAGAAATCACAGATCCAGTATTTCAATGGAAGATGTCTTTTGGAAAAGTCCTATGCTACAAAAATTAATATTGCATAGCAAATTTTCTACATTACATTTTTTGGCTGAAATACTTTGCTTAGCACTTTAATTTTAAAAAGTATATCAGCACATTTTATATTACACATATTATCCTTTTTGGATTAAATTTAAAGTTTTACTTCACTGAGGCAATATATAACCTAAGCTGTTTAAGGGGAAAAAAATCATCTAATTATTAATGTAGTGCTTGACAGTTCTTTGAGACTAAAAGCTATCAATAGCTACTGTCATTAAAATTGTAAATCACCAACAAAACTTTATTATACAGAGGAGTGATAATAGTATTAATATGAGGGAAAGTCATAAAATCTACAGAGTACACCAGGAAATTTTTGAAGTATAAAGTGACACAGAATGACATTTTTATCAAGTGATAAAACCCAGAAAGATTATTTGTAGTATGAAAATTTGTAACAAAATACAAATTTCACCCATCACTACAAAGCAATGTTATAATATTATTGGGCAATAAACAGGATATATGTCATTTGTTTCACATCTCTGAATACTTCTGAAATTTTCTAACTTTTAAATTGTTAAATTTTAAACTTATCAAGCTGGAGTACTTTGATGGAAATGAAAAAAGAAATGCTGATTCCCCACAAAGCTTTGTTCTGCTAAGAAATCATGTTCATATTTTATTTGCTCCTATAAACTAACCTGTAAAAGTTTCTTTTACTCACACTGTACCTTTAGAACCAAGAAATTTTATCAGAAAATAAATTATTTGTACTTATTACAATTTAAGTAAAAACAATGAAACTATCTTTTAACTTTCACGCTATGATACAGTATGCTCTCCTAAGGATACTACGATATATACAAAGTAACCTTTATATTAGGAGATAGAAAATATAATAAAGGATACCAAGTTAAGGCATTACAGAATAGGCAGTTTTAGGAGGATCAACCTACCAACAATGTTTCAAACTCATTAGGAAGAAAAAACTGATGATAAAGAACATTGGGTTAAGGAAATTACATTAGAATTTCAAATAGAAGACAAACACTTGAATGGGATTAGTGGCAGGAAAGTAACAAGCAGACATGGACGACAGGTAAGTAAAGGGACTACAGAAAATCTTTTAGGTATGTGGACACAGAACCAGTCCAAAAGTATAATGCCTCTTGGGTGTCCAGTGTAGTCCAATAACCTATTTTTAGAAGTCTCAAAGGTATAACATTTTCAGCAGAACTCAAAAGCTTTTGGATTCTTCTTTCTCTTACTGCTGTTCTTCAATAGAGTCTTTTCAAAAACTGAGCTGGCATGAGAATAAAATATACTGAAAGGTTCCATAAGTCATTATGAGCTATATGTATCTTCCTATAGTGAATTTGTCCCTACTGCAAACATATTCATCATAATAAATTTTAATCTGTTAATTTTTAATGAAGACAATACTCTGAAAGCAATTTCAAATCTTGAAATAAATTTGATATTTGATTAACTCAATAAAATTTAAATATTACAAATGAGACTTGCCAGTGAAATTCTGAATCTTATAATTAGCAAAACGAAGAGAATATACTTACAATTACAGGCTCTATTAATAGTCGAAACAGTGTTCCTACTCGTATACTTCGACAGCTTAAAATGACACTTTCAAAGGTACTTGGGCATCTTAAAGATATAGGATCAATTAAAGTTTCATGAGAATTAACTTTACGACGTTTTAGAGGTGTGGTGATAATAGGATTGCCAAACTGAAAAAGAAAATTTTCATTTAATAAGTTATTGTAACAAGACTGCAAACAGTACACAACATAACATAACACATACACAAAGATCCCATATAATGTAAATTATTTCAACATAGAATTTATTTTCCTTCAAGAATGTTAGAGAAACAGAAATTTGTTGTTTCAAAATAAAAGTCAATCCCTTCTATTTTATTTAGTAGTATTTCAGTTATTATTTGAATTCTAGTAATAGCATTATATTCCAGAAATTAGACACCTTTGGTTATTGGACTACACAGCTAAACTACCTTGTAATGATCTTATCTGGTAAAACTCAGTAAAAACTTAAGTTTCACTTTCCTAAAATGAAAACTACAAAGGATAAAGATTATACACATTAGCCGTTTTACATAATAGGCTTTAAAGAAGGCTTTATGCACAGTAAAATGCTGGACAAGTTAGCAAGTAATAGCGACTGTGGTGGGACTTAAAGGAAATCATCAACACTTTACAAAACAAGCAATTATAGAAATGGTTATCTGCATTACAAAAGGATGCTTTACATATTTTAAATTACTTGATGTTAAAGTATGACTTGTGTAGCCATTTGCAAAAGCAGATTTTTTTTTTTATGGGACTGGGGATTGAACTCACACGACCTTGCGCTTGCCAGGCAGGCGCTTATGCCACTGAGCTGTATCTCCAGCCCCTGCAAAAGCAGATTAACACAAACTAATTTCTGTGTCTACAACCCAGAATGAGTGGAATTAGAAGTATTTCAGATTTTGGAATTTGTTTTTGATTTTGGAATATCTGTGGAACAACCCTAATCTCAAACACAAAATTAAAAATCTTGGCATGTCGTATGTTGGCACTCAGGAAGTTTCAGACTTTGGAGCATATCAGATTTTGGATTTCTGACTATCCACATATAGAACAATGAAATTAGACCCCTCCTTCTCCCCATATACATAAAACCATTCAAAATTGATTAAAAATCTAAATGTAAGACCTAGAATTACAAAACTAGCAGAAAGAAGCATAGGGGAAACACTTCAGAATGTTGAAATGGGCAAGGATTTAAAAAATATGGACCCAAAAACAAAACAAGCAAAAAAAAGATGAAGGTATTACACCAAACTAAAAAGTTTCCACATAGCAATGACAATTTAGGAAAAAAAAAAAAACCCACTATTAACAGCAAAGAGACTATATACAGGAAAAATATCTGCAATGTATACAACTGAGAAAGAATTGATATCCAAAATATACAAGGTAGGGAATTAACTCAGTAACAAATAAACTCCTGATAATTCAAATACTAGGCAGTCAACTAAGTAGAGAGTTCTCACAGAAGACACACAAATGGTCAACAAGTATATGAAAAATTGCTCAACATTATCAGAAAAATGCAAATCAAAACTACAATGACACACCACCTCCCTCCAATAATGCAACTGTCAAGAAGATTTAAGGATAATAAGCGAGGGCAAGGATATGGAGAAAAAGGAACCTTTGTATACCGTTGATGAAAATATAAATCACAAAGTCATACTGGAAATAGTATGGAGGTTCCTCATAAAAGTAAAAATAGAACAACTAAATGATGGAGCAATCTCCAAACTGAAATGAATATATCAAAAGGAAATAAATTCAGTCTGCTGAAGAATGAACATTTGAACACTCATGTTTACTGCAGTACTATTCACAACGGCCAAAAAATGGAAACTTTAAGTGTCCATCAACTGTTGAATGGATAAAAAAAATGTAGTATGCACACACAAGGTAATATTATTCAGCCATAGAAAAGAATAAAACCCTGTCATTTATGAAAATATGGAACTGAAGACCATTATGTTAAATAAGGCCAGGCACTGAAAACAAGTACTAGATAACCACACTCATACGTGGAACCTACACATTGATCTCGTAAAAGATGAAAATGGAATGGTGGCTCCCAGGGACTGAACAGAGTATGGCATAGGGATGGATGGGTCATTTGGGTACTAGTAAAAAAATTTCTGGTATGCTACTGCATAACAGGGCAACTATTGATGATGATAATATATAGTACATTTCAAATACAAGAAAAGATTTTGTAAGTATTTGTCATAAAGCAATTTTAAATGCTTGGGAGATGGGTATGCTTAACCTGGTGTAAACATTACACAATGTATATATCATTGAAACATCACACTGTACTCCATAATTATGCACAATTTTTATGTTTTATATATCAGTTTAAACAATTAAAAGAATAAAAGCAAATGTGATTCTATGTATCTCTGATTTTTTAAACTGCTTTTTTTCAGGCTTACTAACAGTTTAGCATGAACATTTCCCCAAATTATTCATAGAACTCTACTACAGAGGTTTTTAATTTGTGGAGTTTTGCTTGGTTTTGGTTTAGTCCCGCTCTCCCCGTGAGAGCTATATGGCTTACTAATAAAACAATTAATTTAAAAGTGCTCCAGCTGAACTGGGTGTCTGGTGATGCATGGCTGTAATCCCAGCAAGCTGGAAAGCTGAGGCAGGAGGGATCACAAGTTTGAGCCCAACTTGAGGAACTTTGGAACTTATACAACCATGTCTCAAAATTTAAAAAAAAGAAAAGCTAGAGATATAGCTCAGTACCTAGGTCCTTTGTTCAAAACCCAGTAACCCAAAAAAGTGCTCCAGCTGAGCAGAGCCGATGCAATAGAAGGCTTGGGTTTACAATCTGAGTGGTCCCCACCCTACCACAGAAGTGACTGACAAGAGCACTGGACGTCCTCTTGTGCTTTGGTGTGCCAGTCTGGTAACTGTTAGCCTGAGAACTGTTCAACTAACAATTTGAACTCTGTGGAAATTGTTTATTAAACTGAATATGCTGGACATCTACTGTATTTAAGACCTTTCCAGTATTTCCCCATTACAAACCATGTCCAATGAGCATTTCTACAGCCTAATCTCAATACTTGGCTAGAAATACTGCCAAATTGCCCTCCAGTAAAGTTACACCAATTTATAAACTTAACATACCTTTTATCCAAATACCAAGATGAAAGACACTGTCATACTTTAAAAGCTGTTGGTAATTTGGACAATATTTACATTTCATATTCACTACTCTGGTTACTAGCTTTGCTGTAGTTTAAGTGGTTTGTGCCTAAGACATTAAAACTGCGTATATCAGCTTACATGTTGTTACACAGCTTACTATCTTCCTCCACTGTATTTGCCTATCAAAACCCTCTTTAGGGTATTTTGGTATACTGTCTTGTTTCCATATTTTCATCTAGTTCCTAGGGACCTTGACATATACATGCACATATATAACTTTTTTAACATGCAAGTTTTATTCTATTGAAGTTATTTTTACAAAAATAGAATAATACACACATATTCCTGTATCTTGCTATTCTTACTCAATACTCTGTAGAAATCCTAAGTCACTGACATGTCTCTAGTTTTTATTTTTAATGGCCACATCATGTAACTATATCATAACTTATTCAGCCATACACATATTACTGGGCAATGATTCTTTTTGTGGTTGTTTATTAATACATAATCATGAAAACAGATATAGCCTTATATACTGGGGATGAGTGAAGTAATTCTCCTGAGATTCATGGGAATTCCAGGGAACCAGTTATTTGGTCAAATAATATACAGTTAAACAAATTTTGGGAGGGACTTCCAGGAAGATGGTGGAGTGGTAGGCAGGAGAGACTGCTGTCCAGATAATGGAATATAACAGTGTGAGGAAGAGAAGGAGGGAAGTGTGTCTTCTGGACCAAGGAAGGATCTGAGCGAGAACTGAAGCCACAGGGAGAGCAAAGAGGGAAACTTCAACAAAGAAGTAAGGTAGCCAGTAGAACCTTCTCCAAGTTGGGACTCACTCTGTGTAAGGAACAGTTCAAACCCATGGATACATGGTGACTGCTGGCAACACCAGAGGCCTCCTGCAGAGAGGCAGCAGTGGAAGGGAACAGTGGATGTGAAAGACTGCACTGGACGTCCTGTGGGAGCGGGCGATTAGATGGGAGCCATCTTGCAGAGGGGCCAACTGAGCTCAGAACTCAGAACAAGTCCATCTAGTGGCTCCCAATTGAGTTCAAGCCCATAGAAGGTGTGATGATAGCTTCAGGCTAAACTGGTCTGGTCCCGGCCTCACAGGCAGAAACCAGCCTATACTTCAGGAGAAATAAAGATGCAGGCTCACTGAGATGATCCAACTGAGTTCAAGCACATAGAAGGTGTGATGATGGCTTCAGGCTGAACTGGTCTGGTCCCAGCCTCATGGCCAGAAACTAGCCTGTACTTCAGGGGGAAATAAAGGTGCAGGTTTGCTAAGATGATCCACTACCCTGCAATAAAGCTACTGCTGCCTTGCTGGGATAAATCAACACGGATCTGGACTCTGTCTCCACGCATTGTCTACCAGTGACAGCAAAGACAAATGTTGACTATTCTCCCCCACTTTTTCTTTCTTTTCATTGTTTGATATTGTTTTTTAAGAGTGTGAACGTGGTTTCTAGCTTCTCTGTGGTTGTTCTATTCTTACTTTTATTTCTTCCTTGTTGCTTTCCCTCCTATCTTCTGCACCAGGTTCCCAAAGTTTGCATGATCCCCCTTTGTCCTCCAGCCTTGCTTCTAACCTCTTCCACTTCTTCTATTTCTCTATTTTTTCCCCAACTTGTTTTAAATTTTCTACTGAGGGTAAAATCATCATATTGAGGACTTATTTACTACATATAATCTGCTGTTTTCTTTTAGATTTTGATACATAATCATAAACCTAGCCCATACACTTAAAGGTGACAAATTAACGGTTACCTCAGTTTGTGATTTTCTAGGCTGTGTTTGATACTATTGTTATTGCTGACTATACCACTTTAGCCAAAGTGACATAACTGTTCCAACTAGCTTTTCTTCCTGGCATACCAAGACTGAGGCATTAGGGTCACAGAAAATACTGTGGGCCAATGCCAAAGAACCAGGGGCTGGACCAAGCAGGCAGCTTCTCATCCCCAACAAATTGAATAGGTAGGATCTTTCAACAGAACCAAAGCCCTAAAACCAGATATGCCCAGAGGACACCTTGAAGAAATAGTTATTTACTAAGGGTTCTAAATACTAGCAATAAAGCAACTCACTATAGGCAATTTACCAGCATCAAATCAGGAATTAAACTAAAAAAAAAAGAGTGAGAGTGAGAGAGCGAGAAGACAATTAAACAAAATGCAACCCCAGACATCTAGTTCACCGAAGGCAAACACAGGAGGCAATAAGGTGGGACAACCCAAAAGCCACCCACCTGGCCTCTCTGAAGTGGTAACAAAGTAAATGAATGAGACTCTAGAAAAAAAATTAAAACAGAAATAATTTCACAGATAACTACAGAGATGGTGTCCACAATGAAAACTATGCTTAGTGATGCTGGAGTAGAGATTAAAAAAATAGAAAAGCTTAAGAAAATGATGGAAACCATGAGTGCCCAATATAGGAAAGAAATGGAATTTATAAAGTAGATTCCAACAGGTATCTAGGAGAATAAAAATTCTATTGAAACTATCCACAGCAGAATGAGCCAATGTGAGGACAGAATCTCAGATATTGAAGATAAGCTTTCAGTTAGCAATCATGAAAGATTTCTTAAAAATAGCAAGGGACCATGAGAAATCAATCCAGTAGCTGCTAGATGATGCGGAGAAGGGTAACATAGATTGAATGGAGTCAATGAAAAGGCAGGAGATAGCACAAATGATATAAAAAACCTGCTCACAGACATCATGGCAGAAAATATCCCTGGCAGGGAAACAAATCTGACATACAGTAAGTGAGGCATATAGAACTCCAATTTAAAAAAATGACAAAAAAAAAAATCTATAGCCAGGCATATCACAGTCAAGAGTCCAGAAATTCAACACAAGAATAGAATATTAAAACCTGTTAGAGAAAAGAAATAAATCACTTATAAAGTCCATCAGAATCACAGCTGACTTCTCAACACAAACCCTCAAGTCAAGGAGAGTTCAGAGTGAAATATTTCAAGCCTTAAAAGGAAACAACCTCCAACACAGACTGATGTACCCTGTAAAACTATCTTTCAAAATTGATGGATAAATAAGATAATTCCACGACAAAGAACACCCGAAGAAATTCATGAACACCAAACCAGCACTCCAAAATTTTCTGAAGGACATTCTAGAAAGAGATAATAAGAACACCAACAGAAGAAATCCACCAGGCAAGGCAAACAATTAAATGGAAGAGAAAAAAAGGGAGGGAGAAGCCAATAGGAAAATAACACGACAAGTGTAAGTCAATACATATCAGTTGTAACCATTAATGTTAATGGTCTCAATTCACCAATCAAAAGAAACAGACTGGCAGAATGGATCAAAAGCAAGTTCCAACAATATGCTGCATACAAGAAACACATTTAAGTCAAAAAGAAATTCATGATTGAAAGTAAAAGGGTGGAAAACAATACTTTATGCAACAGGAAGCAAGAAGAAAGCAAGGGTAGCTATTCTATTTGCAGACAAAGTGAATTTCAAGCCAAGACTGATTAAGAGAGACAAAGAAGGTCACTACATCCTTGTAAAGGGAACAATCCAAGAGAAAGCGATAAATAACAATCATAAAATATATGCAACAAGTATCAGTGCACTGAACTATATAAGGTTGATACTGTTTTTCTTGTTGAATTTTCACATTCAATCCTTTAGTTTAATTGGTATTTTTTATTACGGTCTTGTAGAATAATCTTCTAAGTGGTATCTAATCCCCAATTAATGAATAATCTCCTATCACTGCAAAAAGCAAAACAGATTTACATCCCAAAGGGGAGAATTTCATTTGAATCAATGTGAAGAGTACCTGGTCTTTCATTCTTGCTTTCCTTGGCAATGTGACAGTGTTTAGCTCTGACTCTGGTGGAATGCTTTTTGGCTCACGCTCAACTCTGCAGTGATTTTCATTCAGTGCTGCTTCTACTTTTCCAGTGGATGGTGCTGGAGAAGAACACGCTGAGTCAGCAGGCTGAGGAGATAGGCTGTTTCTTCGGATACTCTTAACATTGTCATCATCATCATCACTGGACAAAATGACTAAAATCGTAAAGAAAATCCAAAAATTTCCATTAAAATTTTATTTGTAATATAATTTTAAAATTCATTTCTATCAGTTAAAATGTAAATAAACTAGCAGTGGAAAATATCCCAGATTTAATTTGAATATCCTACAGAAAAAATTAATAAAAAACAAAGATAAAATTCTTTACCTCATGAAAAGTTAAATTACAAGAAAGCGTACAACTTAGGGTCGTTTTAAAAATACACAAATGTCAAATTCATTCTATAGCCCATTACTACAAACCCAGACAGACATCAGCAAGTTCTAAGAATTAAATGTTTATCAGTAGGTCTATTTCAGAGTTCCAGTAAGTTGAAGGTGTAACAATAATTTATATACACGTTGTTCTCAAAATCACCTGTCTCTTAAATCTGTGAAATTTCATGTGACCAAATAAATTTATCACACAAAAGAAATGGCTAAAACTATAATTGGACCAGTGACTATGCTCAATAAATCTTATTGAGTAAATGACTGTAGAAAAGAAAGACAGACATAACTGCTCTTATACCTTCTAGTCATTACTGAAACATAGCAAACCCATCTTTATATAATTCCCTAGAACCACCCATACTGGATGTGAGCAAAATCCTAATTTCTTACTATGGTTTATAATCTGGCCCATTTGTATACTTTTCTCAATCTATTCCAATTTTCTCTTTATGTTCCAGGAATATACCACAAGCTTGTTCCCTTCTCCCCCAACTCTCTGTATTTTTATTAACAAATATTAGCTTAAATATCACTTCTGACTAATAACTCCATCTAATGTAAACACAGAGGTACCAAGTCACACCAAATGATTTAAATTTTGTTGCTTTTTGTTATGAATGTTTACATGCTCACTTCTCTCTCCTCTCTACGCACAAACCAGGACATTAAGACAGTCTTATTCACTGTATATCCCCAGAACCTAAATCACGCTACACATACATGCACATTAAAATGTCATGTGATGAAGAATGTATGAACTTGCAGTTTAATTTAGCTTCCCATACAGATATGCTAACTTAATATTTAGTGATTATTATACATGTTCCAGAAGGCTATCAGACTTGCATCATTCTGCTTATTTCTTTTATTTTGTTGTCCAGTTTCAGAAGCAAATGTAGATCCTGGATCTATTTCAGAGCTAGTTATGTAGCTTAATTTCTCTTGTTTGTGAACTTGACAATAATTGTTGTAGGGAGCAAATGATATATATATATAGTGGTTGGCAGGGTATCTGATATGTGTGAGTGTATGTGTGTGTACATAAACACATATGTTTTTTAAAAACACACATGTATATTCTCTAATATGGTTATTAAAAAGTTCAAAAACTATATTTCAAAAACCTACATAAATGTATGTATTAGAAAGAAAGTGCAGAATCCTGACAACAATTAGTTTTATGATACCTGAGAGACACGAAAACCTCTGAATCTGTACTGTATATCAAAAATTTAAAGCCCCAGCCAGGTGTGGTGGTGCACCCCTATAATCCCAGTTACTTAGCAGACTGAGGCAAGAGGATCTCAAGTTTGAGGCCAACATGGGCAGCTTACTGAGAACTTCTCAAAATGAAATTTAGAAGTGGGCTGGTTTATAGCAGAGCGTTAGAATGCTTACCAAGCATATGCAAGGGAACAAATCACAACAAAAACCCTCAGTGCACTAATGCTTTCACATAACGGTATAATAAAGTTTCATATTAAAATAAATAAGGGTTGCCAGGTATGGTGACACACACCTGTAATCCCCGCACTGGAGAGGCTGAGGCAAGAGGATCACCTCGAGTTCGAGGCCAAACTGGGATACACAAATGAGTTCAAGGCCAGCCTGCACTACAGTGATACAGTCTCAAAAGAAAAAAAAAGTAAAGGTTGTGATTAATGTTATCATGACTGCAAAGCAAATTGGAAGAATGTGCAAAGATATTATATAATTCAACAAATGTTCTCATAACTTTTATTATATAGATTTTATATATATATATAAAATAATGTATTTATGATCCTGTCTAAGGATATTCTATGAGTTTCACTGTGTTCCTCCACAATTTGTATGAAGTCCTGACCTACAATGTGACTGTATTTGGAGATAAAGCCTTTAAGGAAGTTAAAAAGGCCAAGTGAGTTCATAAGCGTAGGGCCTTAATCCAATGGAACTAGTATGTTTGTGTGTGTGTGGTACTCAGAATTGAACCTAGGGCCTTCACAGAAGCTGCAGACCCAGTGTGAAGCCCCCTCCTTTTGTAAAATTTTGAGACAGGGTCTTGCAAGTTGCCTAAGCTGGGCTAGGACATGCAATCCATCTGCCTCAGCCTCCTAGAGTGCTGGTATTACTGGCACATGACACTACACCCAGCTCAGAACTAGTGTCCTTCTAAAAGGAAGAGACACCAAAGATCTCTCTGCTCCTGTATGTGGAGGACCACCTGGATGGCTCTCCTTGAAAGAAGAACATCTGGCCCTACCTCCATGTACTGATATGGACAGAGCTGGCTAGGACATTTCCCTATCCCCTAAATTGGCTTTAAGCAATGCAACTGGGTCTCTCCCGTGCTGATGTGTAGTTTTTGAAGCAATGAGACAGGTCAGTGAAGCCCTGCCTATAGCTCCCAAATAATGTGAGAGCTAGAGAATGTGCCTCAAAAAAAAAAAGAGGCTATTGACTTCTCAGAACATGGAGTACGCATCAAAATTGAAGCAGCAACCCCAAAACACTAGGTACTGCCCCAATCTATGATATGCAGATTATCCTTTCTGCATCTCTCTCTGCATACTGCAGAGGTGATATCAGGCCTCCTACCTAGCCCAATTCACAGCACTCCTGTACTTCCCTCCCACCACTCTCAGTCACTCACCCCGAGGCACTCCTCTCTTCAGGAATTAATAAAACCCAGGTTTGGCCCTGGGTTGAGGCCTCTGTTCTGGTTAGCCATTACTCTGAATGGACTCAGAACTTGCTTGGCTCCCCACAACTACAAACATGCTTTAGTATCTCTATTCTCCCAATGAGTTGCTCTGGAAGTGGTAGGCTGGAATTAACTTATTAGAATTCCAATAACTTTTCCATGGGATTACAAATGTGGATTCTTCTGGAGTGAGTCGAGGTCCAGAAGGGCTTTCTATACCACACAGAAAACAAATTTCTTTTAAATCACCCAATCATTGTTATTATTACTTTTTTTTTTTTTTTTTTTGTATAGCAACCTAAAGCAGACTAATACAGGGTTCTTCATGCTTATATTTTAAATAGTCATTCAAATCTATATCCATCAACATTTCTTCCTGCTTACTTTATTTTAGGCTCTGCTTCAACATTATTTCATCAAAGATGCCTGTTCTAGACATGCACAGTGGCACACAGCTATAATCCCAGCCCATAGGGAGGCTGAGGGAAGAGGGTCATATGTATGAGTTCTACCTAGGCAATTTGCTGAGACCCTGTTTCAAAACTAAAAAATAAATGCAAGTTTAAGAATGGTTAGGCATATTAAGAAAACAGACTCTAGAAGTGGAAAACTCTCTTTTTAAAAGCCAAAGAGTCCATATGTACGTAACACTGTGGTGTTACTTAATTTCCTTAAGCCTCATTTAAAAATGGAGGTATATTAGTACCTACTTTATGCAATTGTAAAAATTAAATTAAAACTGGTGTATACAACAAATCTTTATCCAAAATCAGGGCATGCAAATGTGTAATAAGTGACATCTTTTATAATTAGTATGACATTTTCATAATGAACCATATTTTTCCATATAATTTAATGGAAAATATCTTTTTTTCTTCTTTTTTTGTGGTAATGGGTATTGAACCCCTGCGCCTTGCAATGTGCTATATTCCCTCTGATCTTTTAAAATATTTTACTTTAAGACATAGTCTCACCAAGTTATTAAGTTTCCCAGTCTGTGCTCAAACTTTAGATTCTTCTGCCTCAGCTTCCCAGACTGCTAGAATTACAGGGACATGCCACCAAGCCTGACTTCATTTCTTTTTAGCAGGGGAGCAGAGCAAATTTATGCTTTCTGGCATTAAATCATGGCTGATATTATCCCATATTAAACCCCAAAATATAAACTGCTTAAGGCAACTCAGAATCATCTAAATTTATTTCCTTATATTATCAACTAATATGGTTGAAGATAAAAGTTAATTTTTTAACCTACATGGTTGAAGATATAGTAGTTGATTCCCTCCCCCCTTAATTTAGCAACCTAGATTTGCCAATTTCTAATCCCCTCATTCTGGTAATCTCCCAGAATCTTAAATGTGGTTCAAAGATATTACCTAATAAGTTGGGAGTTCTTTTCATATGTTATTATTAAAATACAATCACTGGGGCTGGGGATTTAGCTCAGCGGCAAAAGCGCCTGCCTGGCAAGCGCAAGGTCGTGAGTTCGGTTCCTGGTACCGGAGAAAAACCAAAAAAACAAAACAAAAAAAAAAAAACATCACTGCTAGGAGCATTTAGGACTTCTTCTGTCCCTAAGTAGACAACACCTGGAAGCTTGTCCTTAAAATTCTTAT